ACGAAGACATCATAAATGAGTTCAAGAAAGCTGTGTGCTTTTATGGCTGCCTTTTATTGTGTGATTTAGTAATTTCTATTAAACAATTCCACACACAATACCAAATCAGTTAATCCAATTCAGGAAGGATTTCATTCCTCACTAATCTTTGTATTCATATTCTTTGGATATTGACCACCAACTTTATGCCACAAGTAAGCAGAATTTTTTCATTCATTAAACCATGTTTGTTCAACTTATGCGATGCAAAGGTTATTAAAAGTCTCAGGCAAAATAAATAAATCAAGTTTTAATTTATTAAACCATCAAAAGCATAGTCCATAACCATAGTTGATTAACACTAAATAACTGAACCATCAACTTCCAACTTAAACAAAAACAGCTACAAGTTTTCGAATTATTTAAAAAAACTAAATTCTAGAAACAGAAGGTCTAAAGAGTTTGAAAAGATCTAAATGATGTCCAGTATCTTTAAAAATCAAACGATATGTCCAATGGCTTTCAACTTGAGCTTTGATTCTATTTCCCATAGACAAAACTTTTCATATTTGGCTTATGGTTTTGGTCGTAAGAAATCCTGCAACAATTGAAAATGAGTTGGTGCAACCAAGAATCAATCCACAAGTAATTAAAGGAACCTCAGCACAATTGGATTCGAAACAACAAAAGCACTAGGCTTACCTCTTTTAAAACCAAGCCTTACGTTTTAAGGCAATCTTTCTGTAGGGTCCCACGCTGTGTACAGAAATGACATCTATTCAATTCTTTGGTTCCTTGCTTTTAGATTTGACAATACATTAAAGACTAGGTACCTTTATATGTCCTTGGATTTTTTCTATCATGATTTTCTTTTAAAATCTGGTTGACCTATGAGATTATAGAGTGATCCTTGTTTCTTAGCTTGATTCCTCCTGATAAGCATACTTTGTATTCTCCATTCATCTTATTTTAAGTAGTATATAATTAAATTGGAATGGACCATATTCCAGGGAGGTTAGAGTATTTATAATAAACTGTACAAGGAAGCTTTCTACCACTTTATTTCACATAGTATATCATCTTGCTGCTATATATCATTTTCAGTAAGCTGCTACATAAATTGGTATCGAGAACCATCAAATTCATGGTGGTTAAATACCCATTCAAGTTCCCAGCACAGGACATTACAGCAATCAATTGAGAAACATTTCCTCCACAGACTTTTATTCTTTAGCATTATCTGATTATTGGAAGTGTTGGCCTTAATTATGTCCTGCTACAGTCAATCCGCCATAAACATATTACTTAATCTATTTGATCTTTCCGAAGCTTTCATGAAAGACTATCTTCAGCCACTGCTTGTAATCAAAAGAGCAAGTAAGGGCTTATATTAAGTAGTGCAAAATCACCAGATCCAAAACACCTAAAAGAAACTGATTGTTCACCTCCACATTCAGAAATATATAAGCCATTGAACCTTTATAATAGATGAGCTTGCCAGAATGAGAATTTACAGAATTAAGAATGCACAAAATAAAAGTAACAACGACTCCCATATACGATGATTTAAAATTAATTTTACAAACATAAAAACAGATTCAGAAAATCATTTCATTAAATCCAATAAAATAATTGAAGTTCTTCCTGGGTGATAAACTACAAATATCAATGGTAATCATAATTGATGCTTAAATAAAATTTCTCATAATTGATAATTAATACACAACTCCAATTAAATATATTGCTATCTTTTGGATATACTAAAATATTTAAATTAAGTAATGATAATTTATTCGACATTTATATCCAATAGTACTAGAAAATGATAATTCAACCTTTGGCGTATTCTTAAATTATTTTTGTAGCAATTTTGAATGTAATGTACTTCGTGATAAAGAATTTTATATAAATATGATCATTCTTGTTAATCAGCATCGCATACTCAAACGAGTAATTAAATATTATCTAATTGATATTTGTATGAAAACTTTCTTTACCACTTTGGTTTACAATTATGACTTGATACAAAATATCAAATTAATATGATGATGGATAGATTATCCAAAAATAAAGAAATAACATAAGGAAATAATAACTGTAATATGTCATAGTATACTATACGGAACAAAATCTTCTTTAAATGAAATATATGAATTTACGTACATTAACTTAATATGGAACAAATTCATTACATAATGAATAAATAACATAATTATTTTTCAAAGCAAAAAAAGAAACATAATTAATCATTGGCCATGCAATTAATTCAGTCAAAATATGTCAATAATGAAATCGATAAAAAATAATATGAATTCGATTTTCATTAGAAAGAAATCATCGAAGAAATTAAAGAAAAATAACGCAAAAATCACTAGTTTCAACCATAGCCTGATACCACATGTAAGACTTAATAGGTTCTCTGAACTCCTTTGCATAACCCGCATTCTAAACTTTAATTAAAAGAATTTGAAAAACAAAAAAACTTGATTTTACATAAGTCTTAAATCCTCAAAGATCTTAAACAAGATGATTCACAAATCTTTTAGTTCGGCAAAGAAAAACATACTTGATCATTTTGAATTCGTCGAATTCGAACATGGTTTCTCTCCCTTCTCTTCACCTTTCTCTATTCATGAGTTAATCAATACTATGGATCAAGATAAACTCCCCTTCTTATTGAGGAGAAGAAAAAGAGGAGGGAACCCAAAAATTAGGGGCTTTATATTTTTTCCTACGGAATTTTTTTTCGATTTTTGCCCCCATATAAAACCCCTCAATAGAGATTTTTTACAATAACTCATAAATAAGTTACGCTAGGAAGTTATTTTACACAAAAACCTCATATGAGTTATTTTATAATTAACTCAAGGAGTTATTTTATAAAACTCAAAGGAGTTATTTTTAAATAACCGCTCAATAGGAGTTATATTGATCAAAACGGTCCCAATAAACGAATGCATCAAAATTATTTTCTTTGACAATAGATTAAACATAAATAATAAATTGAATAATTCAATAATGATGCACACTAATGGTTATACTAATAATATTATTTCTTAAATAATTATGGCACGTCATCGCATAATAATATATTTAATTATTATAAAGTAAGGTGGAAGTAACATGTGTAGTGGTTGAAGAATAGTTGTAGTTATTTCACTTTGAAGTGTTGGATTTTAAGCACTGAAGAGAAAGTGGATGCTTGGTTGTGGGGAATTAGTGAGGAACAGAGAGGTGGCTTACTGTTGTTGGATGGAGTTGGGGTGGTGTAAGTAGTATGGGATACTTGAAGTGGTTGAGTAAAGAAAGAGTGAGATGGGAAGAGCTATTGTGGTCGGTGTAGATTAGGGAGAAAGGGATAAGACGAGGGGGTGATTTAGCTGCTGGAAATAGAGAGAGAAGAGGAAGTGGAAGTTGGGCACAAACTCTACTGGAATTAGGAATATCATGGGATGGATAGCTTAAGTTGGATAGCCTTATTTTTTACTTGCGCAAATGACAATTTCTAAAAGCTGCAGGATTTTATTCATATAATGTATGAGGCAGTTGCTACGTGTAGATGGGGGAAAAGATCTGAGAGCTAGATTATAAATATATCATTATAACTATATATATTAATTTATATAATATATATATATGTGAAATTGAAATAAAAGCAAAAATAGATATTCAGATGGATTCATTGCTTCCACAACCTCATTTTTTATTCGCTTTATGCCTCGAATTAATGCCACTCCTGAAACTACACACCAATTTCTTTTTTTTTTTTTTTCGTGCAAAGAACCCTGTAATAGATAAGCATTTATAAGTTATTTAGATATCAGATGAAAAGTTCATGAGAGGCTATTTAAACCATAAGGAACAGCCCGCGGGCTTCACAAAGTGGGGGCGGAATTCAGTATATTTTAAGAAAAGATTTTCTCCCAACTTCAACAATAGATGAAATATTTTTGAAAAAGTTTTGTTGAAATGAAAATACCAAATATAATTCGGATTACAAAGTCGAATGGATTCATCAAAAAAATTATATTTAAACTAGATGATATTTTATTTATGAAACAAAGAGATAATTCACTTTTATCCCAAGTAGCTTATAAGAGAAATAAAAATTGCTAAAGACAAATAAAGTGTGAAAAGGAAAAAAACACATAGATTTTATATATGGTTTTGTAACCCTTGACCAACATCCACCTCCTTGAGTCATCCCTCTTAGAATTGGCACTAAACTAAGTGAACTCTCATTTTTGGCTTGCCAAAAGTAAAAGGCGAGAAGCCTTTACAGAATAATCACTTTCACCAAATCCTGATGCAGCCAGAGTGTCGGACCTAAATGTCTAACCCTCTTCAGGTGATGTAAGAACGACCTTGACTCATATTTATCTTTCCTCCTGAGAAAGGTAAAGGAACCTCAGCTCTTTTATTTCTCCCTCTAAAGTTTTGCAGAGTACCATCGAGGACTTGAATAGAAGGCTCATCTTCCTTATAGAGTTCAAAAGACTCACCAAGGGAACAGGGGACGTAAGGTGAGCTATCCCTGGCAGTAAGCTATGGGTTCCTCA